AGTAATATGAATAAGGAAAGTTGCAAAGGGGATTTGGTAGCCTGAAATAACATATAGAAGTTGTCTCCCTAATCTGAATTACAACCCGCCTTTTATAGGCGTATACAAATCGTAACCGTTACCGATAATAATGACCAATTAATTACAACATTAATACAGAATTAAATACATAATTAATAGCGCATTAATTGCTCGACCGTTACTCTTCCGGGCTAGGAGGTCGACCGGACTGGCAGGCTCCCCGCCGGGCTGGCGGGCAGGCTCCAGGTTATGGACTTGGATCCATGGATCCAAGTTCGGGGCTTGGGCTGATTAGGCTCTAGGCCTAGTTCCATTACTCCATCAGACATTATTAGTATTGTTCAGAATAGTAATAATTATTCATATTTAAGAAAAAATAGTACTTCAATAAACGCAAAAAAGACAGTATAAGATGTTTTGTGCAAAACAAAAGATCTGTATTCATCGGCTCTACTGACCGGGAAATACAAGCTACTTCAAGAAAAGAGAATTACAACGATTAATAAAAAGTTAAACATCTAGATTATTGGCCATGGGCCATCTCCTCTCCATCTTCATCCTCGTCTTCATCATAATCAGATGAGGATTCAGGCTCTCTCCCAGCAGCCTGATCAGCTTCCCGTTGCAGATCTCACTGGAATTTTTCAAATTGAGTTTGTATGATTTCATCCTGGGGAAGATTAGAAGCCTGAACCGGCCTCCCAAGATTGTTTTGAAGTTGGGCTACAAAAGGACGTAGCAGGTCCTGGCCGATCTTGGCATAGAGATCTGCAACAATGGAGTCATTCCATTTCTTGCTCTCAGGATCCTTATCCAAAAGAGCCACCCCTGCCGAGAGCCGACCAGCACCCCTAGGAAACCCCTTCAGGTACGCTCCAAATGCGAACGGGATTTGCGTCCTGGCATGATCATCCTTGATAATGGAGAATTCATCGGAGGATTTGAATGCTTCCCGGACAGCGGACAGATCCACATTCACCTCATATGGGCCGTCCGGGATGCTAGAAGGCATCTCCTCAAAATTGATTTGTGCAGCCCTCGACAGCAATGACCTTAGCTTGGGAAGCAGCAAGTTGGACCCGAAGGGTACCAAGCTCAGTATCCAGCCTTTGTTTTTCCTCCGCAAAAGCTTTCCATTCGGCCTCCAGGGAGGTGATGGCAGCAGCAGCAGTTTGCTCAGCAGAGGATTGAGCAACGATTAATTCCCGCTCCTTGGCCAGACGGGCTTCCCGCATTTGCAAAGTGTACAAACCCATCTACAAAGCACCGTTCGAGAGTTAGTACTGATTACAGAGAAATAAAAACAAAGCGCAAAAGATAATATACCTTTAGTGCGGTCAAGGCCAGGCATTCTTCGGATTGCTCGACCGGTAACTGGGGAAGGGAGAAATTGTTGAACCAGGAAGATGTTGACCAGATCTGGCTCACGGTAGAACCAGCTCTCTCTAGCACCTCATGAACATGATCCGATAAAGAGATCCGTTCGACCTGACCAGTGATATGGTCGGTATGATTCCCACCTACGTTCGAGGTTTCCCCCTGAACGGAATCAAAGTGTTGGGAAAGCTGATGCAACTGATCAGAACCAAAGCGGTCATCGATCATCATGGCATCATAATGATCCTGACCAGAAAATTGCTGAATAGGCTCCAGTTGCTGAACGGTCGGTGCATGTTCGGGTTGTGGAGCAGTAGTGGTGGGTGAATCAACTTTTGGATTCCTCTTCATTTTCTTCTTCCTTTTCCCGATCCCACCAGCAAGAAGCACACGGCTGTCATCCATAGTAGCTTCTGGATTGGGAGCTGAAAAATGACAAAGGGAAATGTTAGTACCGAGCGGCCTTTAGCATGTGAGAAACTAGTAAGAAGAAGGGAACGTTTCTCGCACGGGAAGGACCACCCGGACTATGGCACTTGATTCTCAAAACAAGTAAACCCAAGAAAACGGGCAGTACCTATCCCGGCTTTAACAAGCCGATCGGGAGTCAGGTAGGTCATGATATTACAACACTTGTCCTTCTCCACAACGAGTACGTCCTTATAGATTTCCTCAGTGAGAACTGGGTCGGGAGTCTTGCGGGGAAAGGCGTTCCATTTATGAGGGATCAACCCGTCCGGGATAGACACGAAGAAAAACCTATCTTTCCATCCCTTGATTGAGGTTGGATTGCCTTTGAATAGAATGTGGCCCGTTCGGGAACTAACGGCTAGGTACCCGTGAGTTTGTTGGGGGGATACTTTAAAAAATTGATGAAATAAATCTAAGGTCCGCGAAGCACCGGCATCTTTACAACGACAGATAAAGCCCGCCATTGCCCAATAGGAGTTCGGCATGACTTGGGCAGGTACAATTTCATAAAAATTAAAAAATGAAATAAAAAAGGGATGTAACGGAAATCTAAGCCCAGCCCTCACTGAATCAAAATGGACCACGATCATCCCAGGGGCGTGACGCAGGGGATGAAGCCCAGCTTGCAATCGAAAGTCCACTGGGTCTGGGATTAGGGCCGGAATTTCGGCCCTATTATTGGCAGTCAATTTCTGCCGTCTTGCCCTAATTAAACCTAGGTCGAGGGAATGACGGGGGACATCTTTTGGCCGTCCAGCCGCCATTAAATCCATTTCATCCTCGGATTTTATGCCATCAGAGCTTTCACCAGAGGAAGATGAAGTGCTAGGAAGGTCCTCCGCCTCAGCCCTAGTATTTGTCGCCGTTTCAGTAGAACCACCGACGAATGGGACTGTGATGACATCCACAATAGCAGCGTCACGGTCATCTCCATGGGAGGCCATCTCCGAATCAGGAGAATGCTGTTGAGAACTCATCTCGACTGAGCCAGAAATGAGGAGAAAAAAATAGAGGGAGGAAAGGTACCTGAACGACGAAAGCTGGGAGAAATTTCAGAGGGAGCAACGATGCGAGGGAGATTGCAGAATCGAAACCCGGATTTGAAAGGTTAAGGGCTAATTTATAGCCTTTAAATTGCCGTATCGAGGACCAATCAGGAAGCGACACGTCATCAGAAGCATTTAAGCTAAACGCGTGTCCAATGAAAAGACTAAACGACGGTTATCATGATGAGTATGGGAAAATAAAACGACTACCGTCAAATCACAGTATGGGGAACTGACTACTTCTGTACCCCGATCGCCATTCGGGGTATTGCAACATTGGTGTTCATACTTCCTAATGCACTCACTGTCATTCGAGACATCGGAAGTGGGGGACTTGTGTTGGGATATTGATCCAGAGGCCCAATACCCGGATCAAGAAGGCCCAAGATGCCCGGCCCAAACGACGAGCCCATCACTCTATGATGAGTAGATCCAGTGAAGAATTCATGCCGAACGAGATTTGGCCCAAGAAAGGGTTGGCCCAGTAAGAAGATATACCGAACGGAGTTCGGACTATATATCATACTTGGGCCAATTTGACAGCGTCTTCAGCATGGTCCAACATCCCGTTCGAGCAACGGACAACCGGCAAGTTACCAGGTGCAATTAATGCCAGATTGTGACATCAGCAAGTGGAAACATGGGTGACCAAGTCGGTGGAACAACAGCCAATCAGCATAGAGCAGCCCATGCTCTCCATTAGTATAAATAGAAGGTTTAAAATCATTGTAAGGGTTAGCATTTCAATACTCATGCTCTAGAATAACATTATTGCTCTTATTTCTTGTATTAAAGCATTATTCCGACCTACCGATCGGGAATTTCCTTGTAATCAGACTGGTTAATTAATACAAGTGAGCTTTTGAGTATTAGTGAGTTTATATTTTATATTTGGTCATACGCTTTGATTCTGGACCATTCATGATATATCCAAAGTTCGTGTTGGGCTTTCGGATCTACGAGACTTACCTTCAACACTGTGATAAACAAATAAAACACTAAGTTGAATGAATTAAAATATCAAAGGTAATCAATCTTGATTTTGCTATTTTTCACTTAGCGAAGTGCTCATTGATCACGGTTACTACTTTAATTTTCCCCTCTTGAATATTTAACCGTTAATATTAAATCGTCCACTTCAACAAAGGTAGTTATTAATATAAAAAAACTCTCCTTAATAACTCTTACTATTAATGAGTATAGAACAAACATCATGTATTGATCTTAATAGTATCATTCAATCGATTTAATGAAATCAATGTATAGCTATTGTAACCCGAGGTGAGTATTCGCGGCTGTCAGTTCAAGAATCTCATGTCCAACTATTATATCTAATTCATTCATTGATCATCTAATTACATGATCTAAGATTGATAACCTTAAAACGAACGATTTTCGGTTTAATAAATATAATTAATTACCCTTTAAATTCTCAATTACCAGGAGGGACATGCATTAGTAATCTGAAGTTACTAGCTATGAAAGGACCAAGTGAGCAACAAACATATTCATTGAATGATTTTAGTACCAATCAATGTGAAAACATCAACTAATTGATCACTTAGTGATGCTCAAAAATCAATATGAAATATGAACATGGAAGTAACTAATATTCAAGAGATGGAAAACTAAAGAAATAACCGGTAACTTGTGAATCACAAGCTCTAATATAGCAAAACCAAGAACAAAAGACTACGTAAATTACAAGGATTAACTCTCTATATATGATATGAGGAATCGACGTTTCTTCAAATGGGAAGAAAATTATTATTGTTTTTATAGGAGAAATAAGGTGTCTTGGTCTGATAATCAACCGGGTATGTCAATATACCCGACCAGGTATAAGATGAAATTTGATTTTCGTATGTTCTAATGATTTGCTTGATCTCGTAAGATCTTCGGGCCGAATCATACCCGGTCAGGTATTGGATATACCTGACTGTGTATGAGTCAAATCGGTTTTTCCCATGATCTTCCTTTTGTCTCCAAGCTCATTCTATATGCTCTCAAATGATTTATTGCTTATATATCAATCTTTTAATAACTTTTAATTCAAGTCTTATTTAGAAGATAAAGATTACACATTAATCATACAGCAGTAACAAATAAGTACACACAATATAAAATAATTCCTCCATCCAAAAAGATTGAATCCTGACTCTTAAGGGTTGTAAGTTGCAGTTTTGAAGATTGCAAGTTGTAACCTAATTTCAATTTCAACCTAGATAAAAATGTCTTTCGAGCGACGGACGAATCTCCCTAGTGGGAGTCTATCTACCCAGAGTCTGAGCCTCCTCGCACCGGCAGAGTTCGAACTCTCTGCGGCAGTTCAAATACCAGTGAAATGCGGCTATCAAGGATGATTCAACCGTAGGGAAGTATCAATGGAGCTCCCTGCAGCGTCACTTGACTCACGCGCCTCGAGACCAGCGACCTACCACAGTGCTTGGATTTCACCGACTCGGATATGCTTCAGCAGGACGCTAGCGACAATCTGTATTTAATTACAACTTTTTAAGAAAGGAGATATAGCTGGCATGACCGATCACGGGGCTTTCTACTGTAGCATCCACAGACCACAGGTACCAACCGGCAGACTACCTTTCCTGCCATTCATATGGTTTTGGATTTTTAATATTCTGGATTGCAATGGTATTTGTATATCTGAAATGAATCATTTGATTATATCCGCTACTGATTTTGATCTTGAAAGTGTTATTAGGTTGAAAGACTTCATTTTGAGGCTACTTTCCCGTAATTCGACTTGTACTAAGCTAGAGCTGAATAATTCCTTTGTCATAAATTACTACGTCAATTTATTTGAAGGTTTTATATGCATTATCAAGAAAAGACATGACACTATTATTTTAGAAGGATGAAATGACTTGACGATTACTCGATTTTTGAAAGGGATTACACGAGCAATTAACAAAAATTAATCCTAAGTAGCCACCTCTAGCGATTGAAGATGCTTTGAGTGAGGTCCTACCAGGTAAGGCCAATGACTTCGGGAGTGATCTCCTGCCCTTCACTCATTGGATTTAGGGAGATTTCCACATTCCGATATCAATAACCTTTCCATGTTCGGAGCCTTGCTTTAAGTTGATATCGAGTGTTATATTTAAATACTTCTGCCGACTCTCGATTCGGTCCTAATTTCATCTTATGACATTCCCAATTCTGAACAAATTTCTGGATTTGACTCTCTTAAGGACCTCTTTCAAACTACTATAACTAATGTAGTGGAATCGCTTTCTACTTATCTACTCAAAGAAATTGAAAAAACGTTTGCATCTATTTTGGTTGACTGAGGTAAATTGATTATGAGGCCTAGTGAAGAAAGCGAAGCAATTAGCATGGTGATGAGAACAAAAAAATAGAAATCAATGTGGTAAACCGTTGCCCAGAGTCAAAAGGCTAAACTCCAATTTTATTCATAGATGATCCAGAATGAACCCTGGGAAGGGGTATAAATAGTCTTCTAAGAGAAACCCTAATCAAACCCAAATTAATTAAATCCTAGTTAAGCCCATACTAACTCTACTAAGTACTCTACTAATAATAGGCCCAAACTAAAAACATAACATCAACTTTATAATAATAAATAAAACTATAATCCCCAACCCATAACTGGCCTACGGAAGTGGGCCAATCCCGTTCCCGCCCCATGCTCTTTTTGCTCTCTATCAATCCATCATCCTTTGAAATAACCTTGTCCTCAAGGTTGAAATCTCGCAGATCGAGGATTGAAATTTCCAGCCATGGAATAGATGGGAAAATATCCTTCATCTCCTTCCTGAACCTTTCCCTGGCCAGGTATTTCACGGTACTCATGCTCTTGGAGGTCCATCCCCTCATCCTCCTCAACTATCATTACCCGCAACTGCTTAAAGGGGCAGTCATGTCCTGGTGTAAATGGTTTCTTACACCTAAAACATAATCCTTTCGCCATCAATTTTGCTAACTCCTTTGACGGAAGTCGAGTGAACTGAGAGTGTCTCGTAGGTTGCCCAGACAGCCCTGACTTTGTCCCCGGGGGCTGTCCACTGTCTTTCGAAAAGCTGCCACTCGATCCCTGAAAGCTGACATCACTGGCAGTCAACGGAGGACCCTTGTTTGACATTAAAAAGCTGCTGGAATGTACCCCTGAAGGATTATAATTCGGGTTGCCACTTCTTCTACTCTGGACGGACAGATTATGCTCCACATCGCGAGCTAATTCCATGACTTCTTCCAAGTTACCCGGTCGAAACAAGCGTAGCGAGCTTCAGATTGATTCTTTTAGCCCGTTCATGTAGTATCCAAAATAATGATCATCGGACAATCCCGGAACTTGGATGGCTAACTGAACAAATAGGGTATTATAGTCCTCCACTTATCCATTCTGTTTGGCGTCGGCCAGCCGTTCAAACTGATTCCCCTGAAATTGGGAATCGAATCTGGCCACCATAGCTTGCTTGAAATCTGCCCAAGACATGCCGAGTTTGCGCTCTCAGCCAGGTTACCCAATAGAGGGCAGCCCCTTCCATGACAACTACAGCCGTTGCCACTTTCCTGTCCGGTAGGGTTCCGTTGAGTTCAAAATGTTATTCAACACACGCTGTCCACTCAATCGGGTCTTCTCCGTCAAACGCGGGCAGCGGGGTTGGTGTTGTGTTGCGCGGCAGTCCGTCAGCGCTGGGCGCGGTCACGGCAACACTTCCAACCGCAGCCGAGGATGTTTCTGGAGAGACCGGCGGCACGAGGGCCTGGGTTAACGCTGCCAGAGATGCAGCGATCTCAGCCAGCCGCAAGCCGTGTTCCTCCAGGGTATGATTCGTCCGAGCTTGTTCAGCCTCCAACTCTGCCAAGTGATCGTTCTAAGATCTCGTCATCTTGGCGGGACGGGATTCAAAGTTCGGACCAATTGATGAGAATAGAAAAATAGAAATCGACAGGGTAAATCGTTGCTCAGAGCCAAAAGGCTAAACTCCAATTTTATTCATAGATGATCCAGAATGAACCCAGACAAGGGGTATAAATAGCCTTCTAAGAGAAACCCTAATCAAGCCCAAATTAATTAAATCCTAATTAAGCTCATACTAACTCTACTAAGTACTCTACTAATAATAGACCCAAACTAAAAACAACACAAACTTTATAATAATAAATAAAACTATAATCCACAACTCATAACTTGCCCACGGAAGTGGGCCCAATCCCGTTCCCACTCCATGCTCTTCTTGCTCTCTATCACATGGACATAGCTTCATAGAAAGGTGATAATGAGAGGATGAAAGCTTCAGAGTCAGGCTTGGGTATTACGGGTAACACATACTCCAATTGGTACTTTCTAGAAATCAGCTTCTATAATCATCATTCTGAAGCTTCCACTTGTGAGGGAAATTATGGTGATTTGTTAAAATCATCTTCGGTTAAAAATTTCTTGGTCATGATATGAATCAGAGAGTTAGAAGAGGTTCATATTTCGATGGTTGAGGATCCATGGGACTCTGATCCAAATCAAGAGATTTGGTCAAGAGAGAAAATTGTCTCCTTACAGAGAATTTGAACAACACTGAAACAAAATGTATAAGAGCAAGAATCGGTGGTCACATCTTATGAGGACTAGTTCAAATACAAGTGGAGTTTTGAAAGCTATTCTCTGCGCTCAAGGTTTAGCTATGGGTGACTTATTCAGGTTGGGTTTCGTATTTTTTTTTTGTTTCCACATGCTTCAATACGTAGTATATTTTAAAGCAATATCACTTCACTGGACCTGTGGTTTTACCAAAACTACATATTTTTATATTGGGGTTTTTCATAACAAAAGTGAATGATTATGATGAAGCGAGTTAGGTCCATATCACTCGAGTTAAATCATGTATGGAATGATATATGTTTGTACATAAATTCTGGGGTAAGTTGAGTGGTAGGACTTCATAATAGAAATGTTTTCAAATACATTACTTTTGTGAAGGATCTATGGGAGAAACGTTTAATTACTTAGATTTTTTGGTGGCCTGATAAAATTACTAAAATAGAAGTTTCATTTTTCTTTCATTTTAAATTCCTAGCAATATCCCTGAGTAGAAATTTTTGAATCTTCCCGGTAGATGTCTTGGGAAGCGCCTCTTTAAAAACCACCCTTCTTGGCACCATGTATAGCGGCAGACGTTCCTTGCAGAATTCCCTCACCTCTTTCTCTGTCGGTTTCTCGGCCCCTCTCTTCAAACTCACGAATGCCCACGGCGTTTCCCCCCAAAACTTGTCCAGCCGCGCCACCACCGCCACCTCATCGACGGCCGGATGCATGTACAGAACAGACTCCACCTCCACACTACTAATGTTCTCACCGCCGCAAATTATTATATCTTTTGATCTGTCTTTCACTTCTACGTACCCGTCTGCGTGCATTACACCAATGTCACCGGTGTAGAACCATCCATCTTCTGTCATGCATTTTGAGGTTCCGTCGGGGTCTTTGAAGTAGCCGAGCATCAAGCTGGCGCCTTTCAAAATGATCTCCCCCACCATCTTCCCATCTCTCTTCACGCTCTTTCCGGTGCGCGTGTTGACCACGTCTACGCCGCCGAATCCCACGCTCCTAACTCCTTGCCTTGCCTTGAGCGCCGCCCTTTCTAGCGCCGGGAGCTTATCCCATTTTTGTTTCCATGCACATGTCACAACTAAGCCACCGGTTTCGGTCAGCCCATACCCGTGGGTCACCCGGAAACCCAACCACTCAATCCGTTCAAGAATGGTGGCCGGAGGTGGAGCTCCGGCAGTGATTATGTGAACCGGAGAGCGTAGCTGGCCTGTGTTTTTAGAGTGATTGGCCAACATATTAAGAACGGACGGCACACCGCAGAAGTGGGTTACCCCATGCTTTGCAATCGCTTGGTAGATGGAATCCGCGTCGACTCGGTGGCGGAGGCAAATATTGGTGCCGCCGACCGCCGCCATTGCCCATGCGTAACCCCAACCGTTAGCGTGAAACATCGGGAGTGTCCACAAGAACACGGGTTGTGGTGTCAATGACCAGTTGACCAAACTTGAGATCGTGGCGACAAATGCTCCACGGTGAGAGTGTAATACACCTTTGGGTGAAGAAGTGGTCCCGGAAGTGTAATTCAACGTTATTGGGTCCCACTCACTTTCGGGCCCCATATATCTAAAATCACAATTGTCATCGCGTAACATGTCACTATAAGAGTGACCAAAAAAACCTTTGTTGTTTCTACCTAAAATAGTCTCTCCTCTATCTTTTCCTTCTTCATCTATGTAAACTAAAATTGGACGCTTTGACCACACAGCTGATGAGATCATAGACAAAGCTTCTAGGACTAAGGAACATGATTGGTGATCAACGAACACAAGCTTCGACTCACTATGAAGAAGAATAATTGAAATTGTCCGAGCATCAAGACGTATATTAATGGTGTTCAAAACTGCACCCGCCATTGGAGCTGCGAAATGCAACTCGTACATGGCGGGTATATTCGGGGCCAAGATGGAGACAACGTCGCCTTTCTTGACCCCAAGGGATGAAATGGAGGAAGCGAGAATCAAGCACCGCTCGTATGTCTCGGACCACGTATAT